AGTAACATCTTGCTTAGTTGTTCCATGCCACCTTCCTATTGCTGAGTGCTGTGCGGCAGGGTCCTGCTTTCAATGTTGCGATCTGGGAATCCATGGCCGAGTAAACTCATTGCGCACGTGTCCGCAAGCGTCCGCAGAGCGTCTGCAACGCGTCCACAGGTGTTCAAAAGCTTTTCCAAGCATTCGCAGCGTCACCATGCTCATATAGGTGTTGTCGCTTTGGGACCGTCGTTGTTGCGTCGCGTGTCAAAGGTGCATTCAGTCACGGGGCAGGGGGCCGAGCGGGGCGGGGAAGCGTTGCTGCTTCGTGGCGTGTTAAAAGTTCATGAGTGCGAGCAGTCACAGGGCTGCTGCACCTTGGGGTAGCCATCTTGGTAACTTTATCTCCAAGAGGGTCGCGTCCTTGTTGCGCGTGAAGACTGACAGGGATGAGATCCCTTGGGGTTGCAACCCTGGCAACTGTCGCCACTTTTGGAGCCTCGTGTCTTCACCTCATGTAAGACATGCCCACTGTCGCAGGCAAGGGCGCCTTCAGTTTGCCATGCTCGTACCTGGTCGTGTCTTCGTCGCATGCGACTCTGTGGTCGGGACGGGACAGTGAGACTCGCCATCCTAGTGCCTGTGCTGGCTCTCGGACGTTGGCAGAGAATGCCGGGACTACGCTACTTGCGCCATTGCGGAATGGAATGGAGTGGAAGGGACATGTGTGCGGGGAAAGTGCAGTGGAAAGAGGTGGAGAGTGAGGTGGAAAAGCAGTGGAGGGTGGAGTATAGACTGGAGAGTGGAGTGGAGAGTGCATTGCAGAGTGGAGTGGTGAGTGATGCAAAAGGTGAAGAAGAGTGGAATGGGAATTGGAGTGGTCTCTGGAGTCAGGGTGGAATCCAGAGTCAAGTCAGAGTTAGACTGGACAGTGGAGCGAAACCTGGAGCAAAGACTGGGAGAATGGGGAAAGTGGGGAGGAGAGAGCTGGAAAGGCAAGTGGATTGCAAAGTGAAGTGCAAAGACAAGTGGACACCGGAGTCGAGTTGCGGAGTTCTGCGAAGGATCTTCCAGGCCGCTTAACGAGTCTTGTGCTTCTTGCTGGCATGTACCTTCCCTCCTCCTCTTCTACCCTACTCCAGCGCTAGATAAAGCCCGGCTAGCTTTCGTTGGCCTCGGCTCGCCCCTCAAGTGTAGTTAGTGTTCGCAGCCCCCCCCGAGATCACGACACAAGTACAAGCATTTTTGTCGTTGCATCAGACCTCCTTGCGTTTCTGTAGAGGCCACTACGTTTGCGGGGTCATGGTACGCGTAGCAACCTGACGGGTGGTTGCATCAAACCTCCTTCTTCACTCTGTTGTGTTCAATACCTTTGCAAGGTCTTGGTTCAAGCCACTTCATGCTCCATCTGACACCTCGCTACTCTTGTAGTGTTCACTGCCCCGCCCAAGCATGGTCATGCTACCAATGATATTAGGCTTGGTGATTGGATTACTTGGAGGGTCACGTGGATGGGGCCGCTCAGGGTCGCCATCCTCGTAAATGTCATCGCTTGTGGATGCTCATGCCTTCGTGGCATGTCGAAAGTGTCAACAGTCACAGGGTTGTTGCATCCTGTACCACTGCCAACAGTGGGATGGGGACCGTCGGGACGCAGACGTGTGGGTTGCCCAGTGGGGCCTCCACGGCCGTCGCCTTTGACCTGTGCGGGGGCGGCGTCCTTGCTGACACCACCGTTGAGACCTATGAAGCCGATTCTCATCGCTGAAGCATGCGGTGGAGGCTGGGGCCCCACTGCTGCTGCCACCTGGCGGACGCTGGGTGGCATCATTGCCGCCCGCAGTGGCGACACCCCCCGCAGAGACCGGCGACCTTTTGCAGAGCGTTGCCATCGCACTTCAGCGTGAAAATGCCCGCGCTGTCCTGCAGCGTGGGCTGATGCTGCCCTCCCTTTTCCAAAGCCTTATGAGAGTGGCTCTTCTCGGCTTCCTCCTGCCCTGCCAGCGCTGCAGTGGCTGCCTGCCCCTCTTTGTGCGTAGCGTTACGGCCCCCTGCTTTGCACGCACGCATAGAATGGTGCTGGACGCAAGCCAACTATGCTGGGTGGTGGAGTTCTCCTGCTTACGGCCCATGTGTGCGGAGTGCGTGACGGGGTTGAGGAACCTGCGTGACTTTTCGGGCTCCGGACGCGGTAGTCGTTTAGGTCTGTGAATGTTAGTCCTAACCATCCTAGTTTCAGCCAATGTGTTAGGGCATGCCTAAAGTGTAATGGAGTGGAGGGGGAACGGAGCGGCGAGGAGTGGAAAGTCAGGTGGACAGTGGGGGCAGAGAAGGGACGGGACAGTTGAGTATGGGTGAAGAGTGGGGTGGAGAATGCAGTAGAGAGTGGAGTGGAGAGTGGGATAGAAATAGGATGGAGAGTGAAGGAGAGTGGTGGCGTGAACGGCGGGGCGTGGTGCGGAGAGTGGAGTGGAAAAGGAAGTTGGGAATGGAGTGTTGCAGGAAGTGGAGCGGAAGTGGAAGTGGAATTCGAGAGTGGCGTGGAAAGTGGAATGGCAAGTGGTTGCAGAGTGGCTTTAAGAGTGGAGCGTAAAGTGGGCTTGAAAGTGAAAACAGGCGCCTCGAGCCTGGAATGTGGACAGCGGAGTGGGGTGGAGGGTGTAAAGAGGCTGAAAGTGCAATGGGAGTCGAGTAGGGAGTGGGGTGAGGAAAGTGGGAAGTGGGTGTGGCAAGTGGAAAGTGAAGAAAAGTATAGAGAAGAAAGTGGAGTGGAGAGTCGCGTGCAAAGTGGACTGGAACGTGGAGTGGACAGTGCGGTGTAAAGTGGATTGGACAGTGGCATGGACAGTTGGGAGTGTGGATTGTGCAGAATGGAATGTGCAGTCGGGAGGGCATAGGAATTTGCACTAAGGAGAGGAGTGGAAAGTGGAATGCAGATTGGTGTGGCATGAACAGTTTCAGACGCCCTTTGCAGAGGTTTTAGGAGATTTTTTGCAGACCCTTCCAGATCTTTGTGCTTCTTGCTCCAATTTCCTTTCCCTCCTCCCGCTATACTGCAGTGCTTACGCCTGGCTAGCTTCGTTGGCCTCGGCTCGCTTCAAGTTGAGGCCCATGTTACTGCATTCCACACTCATCGTTCTTGCACAACATGTGTCTTTTCAACAACAACCAATATTGCTTTGCGGGTCGGCAGCCAGGGGGGAGAACATGGAAGCGAGGCAACGACGCAGCCCTCCACTTGTGGTCTCAGGCGTTCAAAGCAGTCTCCAGAGACTTTACGTACTGCCTGCTTGCATTGCCGTCTCTTGCCGTCGATCTGCTCATGTGTGGAGCCTGTGTTTGATACAGCTCATCCCCAATATTTTTGAGGTGTTGGTGCAGCTTTCAGTGATAGCGCATGAACCGGACTCTTGCCCCTGCATGGCCCAAGCCGTCGCTGAAGAACACTGTCTGGTTTCTTTGTCAAAGCTGTGGGCGCTTATTTCCTCGAGAAGCGGGAATCGGTTACACATGGTGGTGCGCAGAAGCGTTGTGGGCAAGATCGCTGTTGTTGCAAACGCAACGGTATGTCTGCATCAATCTGGTGCATTCTGCAAGATTGTTGCAAGCCCCCCAATTAGCAAGAACTGTGCTTGTTCTTCTTGTGATTCTTTTCACAAGCTGAGAAGTCGAGAAACTGTAAGGAGATAGATGCTTCTTGAGCTTTTGCTGCGCTGACAGAACTTGCAAGGACATTTTCGAAATTTTGCTGAAGGCGCGGCTTCATGCGGAGATATAGGCACAACGTTTGAAGAGGGGCAGGGGTTTAAGCTGAGCTTCGCAACTAAGATCAGCATCACGGAACTTAGCTGGCCAGCCCCGGCTAACCGTTCCCCCCAGGCGCTGAGAAAGGTGCCTGTGGTTCCTTCTGACGCGCTCACTCAGGCAGGGTACTCTAGTAAACATGCAGGTTGGGGCTTCGGAACTAATGAGGTTAGGAACTGAAGCTGCCGCAGTGCCAAAGAAATTGCCAAAAGTACATTGCGTTGTGGTGAAGCTTTCCAATCTCTGCCAGCTCTTTGAGTGCCACCTGGCCCTCGAGACAGAGCAGAAGAGCCAGTACCGGAGGCTGGGGGGGGGGAGCGTGGCTCGCTAGTTGGGTATGCTCGCAAGAAGCTTTGCCATTACATCTGCTCTTTCTATATATACACACACATATAAACGTAGAACATGTATACATGCATGTCTATACTAGTCTATACAGTGTTTGCGCTTGTATTCATCTGAGTCTTGCTGAGTTGAGGTTCCGAGACCGAATGGACCAGGAAACTGTGGAAGCTCTTCAGGACAGCAGGGTGACGGCAGGGTGACGGCAGGGTAAGGAAGGGGAATGCTTGGGAGTTCAGTGGAGTTCTGAAGTGCCTGTAGTGATAAGTCATGTGTCGCCGAAGGACCATTACCGGGAAGCCCGCAAAGACGAGAGGCAAGAGTTCGCGGGTGCACGCTGCAATTGATGCTGTGCCGTGCTGGTCTATGGTATGTACCATGGTCAAAAGCTACTCGTCTGATATACCATCCCAAGGCTAAGCCCAGGCGTTGGCTTTGTGGATAATGCTATCAAGTTAAGGTTGAAGTACCTACACAGGACTTCGGTGCAGTCGTATGGCACAGACATGCACCCAGGCGCTGTTCGGACAAGCACCGCAGCGATGTGGCCTCCGTGCTGAAATCCTTGGTGCACTGCTCGGTCAAGACATCCAAGTGTCGCCTTGTGCCAGACCTGCTGACATCTGCTGATTATCAATGCGACCAGCATTTGCACCCTGTGCTTGGAAGCAGGTTTCAGGATGAGAACCTCACTGTAGGCCCAAAGTGATGTCACAGTTATCAGGTCGAGGGTTCCGTGCACGTGAACCACCGAACAAGTTGCATCTCGATTGCAGTTGGGTTCTGATTTGGATGCGCAGAAGTCCAGGCAAAGTCTCCCGTCTTTCTCACATTGTGGGATTGGAGTTCTCGACCAGGGCAGTAAAGCATTTGTAGCTTTCGCATGCTGGCCGCAGGGATTCACACGCTGAGGTGGGCTTCTAGTTGACGTGGCAGCGCTGCGGAAGTGAAGTCCTCAGAAGTATTTTTAGGGATGCCGCCGAGGGCTCTTCGAGCATTCAGGTGACCATTCGTTGACCCTTCGCATGCTGACCACTAGTTGCCCAGAACCTCTCGTGTGGCATTGCAGGCGGAGCTCAACCGACGGCTTTGTCCATGTTGACTTAGACTCCAACGTGACCTTCGTGAGGTCTCTCGATCATGCTGGCATCTTAGAGGTGGAAGAGAGGGGAATTCCTGCAACTTCTATCCGTCTGTGCTGAGGATGACCCGGCTACTGCAGGGATCGTCATTGAGGGTGCAGTCGCTCTCAGGCCTAGCTGGTGCACCAGAGAACAAGTAGAGCTGCACAGCCCCAACCTTCCAGAAGTTGCAAGTCGCTGCTTATTGAAGCAACCTCAAATCTCTACAAAAATAAGGCGTCTCAACACATTTTCGGGTTTGGCCATTCAGGCGGCGCATACTTCAAAAGCAGGGTCTTCGGCTCGTCAAGCGCTCAGCTGCACGTTGTTTTTCCAGGAGCAGGTTTTCCCAGCATTTTATTTGTGTGCTCTGCTGTGGCTCATGTCCACCTGAAACTGTCAGACTTCTCCTGTGTTGTAAGATGATGTCAGCAGCCAGTTTGCAGGTCACAGTTCGTGAAAGCGAATGGCGAGACCTCGATGAGAGCAAGGCTGGGTAGAACTTGTCTAGGTGGAGGGAGGAGGTGCTAGGATAGGCTGCCTCTCCACAGCAGATGAGGCAGGCATCATTGCTTATGGACGTTTGCAGCTTGCATTCATCAAAGGAGATAACAAGAGACAGCGATGTTTCAGAGCCTTTCTGCCATTGCTAGGAGAAGCGCCGGCATCTGCGAAATCTCCTTTCAGCACTGGGGGACGTTTTGGAGCGTGGCCCTCGTGTAAAGTAGTACATTGCGGTGTTGATGCTAGTCCCCTTGTGAACGCTATGGACAGAAGCAAGAATGGGAACATATCTTTGGCTGCGCAAGCCTTCAGGATCTTCCGGAGTTGCATTGCTCCTGTACTGTTGCCCCTCAAACTCACCAAAGAGGCTTTGTGTCTCTTTTTCTGGTGCCTGTGGACCCGTGAGATAGATACTGTAGGTTATCAATCATACAGTAGTCAGGATTTCAATCTGTGTGATCTTTGTACTGTTTTCTGCAAGCTCAGGTGAAGCTGGTGAGTGGCAGTAAAAGCTGAGTCCATACTTGGTGATGCTTAATAGGGAATCAGAAGCCTATCGAAGCCAGTGATATTTTGGGTGCTAGACTCTGATGTTTTGGATGCTTGACTGCATGCCAGGATTCCCAACTAAGCATCAACGAGTTTGGCATAACAGCTCCGTGCGTAGCATGAGTTGCACAAGTGGAGTATCTGGTGCTCATCCGCGTGAGGACGTTCGTAGAAGCTCATCACCTGATGCATCCATGCCGTCCCTCTGAACAAAGCAGTCGAGTTTGCCGTTGTTCGTATAACAGTCTGGCACAGAGTGGGGAATCGAGGAGCGGAAAGCTTCGTGTTGACACAGCTACAACTGATACTCGGAAGCTCCCATGATCCCTGCAATGCACCAGCTGTTTCAGGAGTCAGTTTCGTTGATGGGAGGCGCTGGAAATCGGTGAGCGACTGCAGCAGTTGCCTTTGAGCTCTGAAGGAGCAGTTCATAGGATCTGGATTCGTTCTTGAGCAGCACCTTTAAGCTCGAGCTTCACCCAAACCGCAGACACACGACCTTTCCAGCATGCGCTCATTGCACTACACTACACCCTGTTGACACGGCAAACCCACCTGTTTATTGGCAGACATTTAAGCCCGCCGCCTTGCCTGTGCATCCACGTTTTGCAAGAAGCTCAGCCTCATGTGTGGAACTTGCGGGAAGACATTAGCAGACTTCCCCCCTGCTGCTGCCAAGGGATCTCATGGGGCTGTCGCTGGCTGCATCCTTCGCATGGAGCCCTTCGGTACTCTTTGATTTTGTTCTCAATATGAGCCTAGCAAAGCATTGAGGTCTTTTTGCCACCAGACATCAAAGACGAACAGACCCGGCAGGCAAAACCAATGTGGGCTAACACACCTCGACACATACTTGATGGATCATTCGACTTGCAGCGACAGGCATCCGACTATCTCGTCTGGGATGAGCAGCCGGCCAAATTTCCAGGAGGAGGGGTCGCAGCCTCAGCTGAGTCTTTCCACAGGAGCTCGAGCTCTGATCCTCGCTGTTGCATAGAAAAGGTCAGAAGACCCTTCCTTTGGTTGCCAGCACCGCAAGATGCAAAAACGCAGAGGTTCCCGGTAGTGTCATGGTCTTGAGTCTACTGCATAAGATGAGGAATAGATGGGTTGTTGTGAAGCAGGTTGTTGTGAAATCAAGCTTCACTCTGTAGGACCCTATTTATGCGCTTGTCAAGATCATACAATCGTTTCATTTTTTTCTGAGATCCGTGGGCTGGTCGCTTTGGCCTTGACGGTGGGATTCGGCTGTTTTCCGTGCTGTGGTAGGACGCTGATCTTCTTCCATGGCAATGCAGAGGACTGATGGCAGAATATGCATAGATGCGCTCATGCTTGCACGAGCCGCCCGGAGCTGCTTCGAAGCTCCTGGCAGCCTCCGCGCATTCTGTTGCCTTGCGCAGGGCGGAAGCTTCTGCGCGTCCAGCCGTTTGTTCGTTTGTTAGCAGTGAACATGGCAGCCTTCACCAGCTGAAAGATTCACAAACTTCGGAAGGTAGACCAGCAATGATTCATGATTTGTGTTCTCTGTTTCACAAGGCAAAATTCTCTTGCATGAAAGAACTACGGCAACGTTCAGAGCTCCGCCTAGACTTCTGTAGTTTTTTTTTGTGCGCGCCACTTGCACGGTACGTGCTGGATTTCAGTTCTCCAGCTGATCAGGGAAACACTTGTTTGCTTTGCAGCTCGAGTGCCTGCTGGGTCATAGCACACTCCTGCCGCAGCTATGATTGTGGCAGTTGTGTTGCTGCCTCCCTGCCTTTTTGACTTGGTGCATTAGGAATGGCTGAGATTCTTTTAAGAGAGGGCTTTGGCCAGCGTCATGATAAGTGACATTGAGTCGTTCCACGTGTGGAGAGATGTGCTGCCCTTGGCAAGGATCTCCTTCTGATCGAGCCAGACCTGGTGCAGTTTGCTAAGGCTCTGAAGGCCTGCAGTTGGAGCTGCAGTGCAGATCAGGTAGACATGGCCTTTTGGGATTTGCTGCCAGTGCAACTTCCTGGCCGTGGAGTATCCCGGCTATGGCCTCTGCACTCGCAGTAAAGGCTGCGAAGAGGCCTTGCAAACTTGCTTGGGTTAAGACATCTGAATTTGAGGGCCCTTTGTTCCAGAGGGTTGGGTTGCGGAAGTCAGAAAGAGATGTGCTTGTGAAGGAACCTCACGAAACATCTGCACACACCGTTTTGGTGGAATTTTATCCCACGGACCTGTTCTCTGACCCGTATACGCCAACTGCAGATCAGCTTCGAGGGCGTCGAAGATGTAGCGCTGCATGCGCTGCCGGGGGCCAAGGGACCAATGTCCGCACGTCTCCACTCTCGGAGCAGCTGCACCAACCAAATACCAGTGGCGATGGCAGTAGCAACGGCAGCAGCGACGGCGGCAGCAGCAGCATCAACAGCAGCAAGGGTGTAAGATTGTTGCTTACTTTTGCGAAGCTAGCTATATAGCATGGACGGCATGGCATGCGTGCTCTGCGGCCAGGGTCTACTGTGTCTCTGTGCGCGGAATCCCACCAGAAAAGGCTGGCTGCACGACTGGCAGTGCCAGTCTACTCTCGCTAGCCTTATCTCAAAAGATCTAAAGGACTCTCAAGGTTGCTGTGTTAGGAAGAGCTGCGAAGGTCTTTTTCTCTGTAGCATTTTCTCTAACGGCAGGGGCTAAGCGGTGCTGTCGCTGCAGGTACTTCTTCACGGAAGATCTCTCGGAAGCGGGCATGGGCCTCGGTGCTACATTTCAGTTGCAAAAACGCAAGCTAAGATTCCGCGGTTGCTGCGGCTTCTTTGACTTCCAGTTTTTGCGGAGGCCAGTCCTTCGGCTGGCGAAGCGTGCCCGTGACTTGCGGGAGCCTCGGAGTTTTCAGGGATGGACAACTCTGTACGGCTGGCTGGGAGCATGTTCCAAGGATGAGGTGGCACATTGGAGGCGTAGTGCTACAGCCCCTCGGCCATTTAAGACAGAGAACGGGTGCAGGGTGCAGGGTGCAGGGTGAAGGTGTTGAGCCACTTTGGGCTGTTTCAGACTGCAGACTGCACATGCGATCAAGTTGTGAGTCAGGTGCCCGTTCATCAGCATCCGGCAGGTCGCAGCCGATTACGTTGGTCTGCCAGGCCAGAAGGAAGGGTGCTTGGAGTTGACCGAACTCTCTGTCTACAAAGAGTTCAGTCAGATGCACTCTGCAGAATGGGAGCTACAGTCTGATGAGCAACTCGTAATGTATCTCGCCGCTGCCAGGGAGTTATCTCATCCCATCGGACTGCTACAACAACCTGGATGCACTTCAAGAGCTATGCAATTGGCTTGGCATGGGGACTTCTCCGGAATGTGTGAGCATGTTGCGGCTTGCCCGGGAGAGAGAGCGAGCGGAGAGGGGCATAGCCGTGAAAGAAAGGCCCGTGCAAACTTGTTTACGTGAGATGAGGGAGTGCATAGGGAATATTATGGGCTATTGTGTTAGGCCTGTGCACCGAGAGAGGAGTGTGGCCAGAGTACATGCAGCATGTCGGTCCTCCTGGGCCCCGACTGGACAGTGGCTTGGGGCTGTGCCAGGGGAGCTGTAGAGTTCCCTTCGGCCAGAAGAAGATCCCATACAAAGACGAGAGAGGTGTCCGTCGCCATTTTGGCTCGTCTGCCTCGGGGGGTGCGTGCTGGTCCGAGTGGCGGCGGCTTGAGGCCGCGAGCTGCTGCACGTTGCAGATCGAACTCGCCTGGGATTCTCCGCGTGTCTCCTTTGAGAACGGCTGCGCTACCAGACTGCGGGCTAAGCACCTCGTCCGCAGGCTGTCTAGGAATGTCTGGGAGGAGTTCGGAGGGTTTGTGGCACGACGTGAGCCGTTGCTGTGGCAACTCCCATCGGCAGGGACTACCTGTGCAACGAGCTGCGCCATTCCAGAGGATATGGTGGCCGAGAACCAGACGGAAACATGGCAACTCAGGATGGCCTCTCCCCCGTGGGGTCGAAGCACGGCAAGGATTTTTGAAAGGACCTTCGGACTGCAGTCACAGAAGAGGATTAAATTTCTTTTAAATACCAGCGGGGCATTTTATGCACTGGGCTGACGGTGTTGATTCCTACAGTATTGTCAACGCAGATGATCCCGTCTTGATGGCTAGCGGGGGGGGTGGGTACACGCGATGCCTGGCCCGACAGCCTAAGCTGGTAGTGAAGCGATGTCTCAATGGTTAGGAGGCTATCAAGGGGTATCTCATGTTGCCAGGAACAAAGACGGGTGTGCTGGGGGAGGCCTGAAGGGAACAGGTTGTGAGGATGCAGTAAACCCTATTCTTCACAAGTGAGGC